TTAGCAACGCCACAAAATCATTATTGCTGAGGAGAGTTATTGCCCAAAATTATGGCCAAGAAAATGGTACTGAGATATTGACTTTGCATGGACCAGAGAAGGCGACAACCATTGGACAAGATTATTTTGGACTTTTTCGAAAAATTTCGCCAGGGGAAGAGGGATCTGAAGAACAATGACACGAAAAACTACAGGAAGTGAATAATTTGTGGATAGAAAACATGAAGAAACGGCGAGGCCCGGCGGCGAGAACTTCGGGGATTTTTTCTTCAAGATAAATGATTATAGAATACATTGATAAAACTGTGTAAAAAGCTTGTACATCGTATATTTGCACGAAAGTCATCCGCTAATGCCACATTTGCAAACTCGGACGAATTTTTAAGTCAACTTACGATGTACAAGTTTTAACTTGTCAACGAATTGTATTGAGACTGTATGAAAACATGAATTGAAAAATAAAAAACAAAAAACCCAAAAAAAAAAAACAAGAAAAAACAGAAAAAAAAACGAAAAAAAACAAAAAAAAACAAAAAAAAACAAAAAAAAACAAAAAAAACAAAAAAAAAACAAAAAACAAAAAAACAAAAAAAACAAAAAAACAAAAAAACAAAAAAACAAAAAACAAAACAAAAAAAACAAAGAAAACAAAAAAACAAAAAAAAACAAAAAAACAAAAAAAACAAGAAAAACAAAAAAACAAAAAAACAATATAAATTGAAGGAAAAAAAATGAAGACTGAAAGTAAAAAATTAAAAAATTAAAAAAACGGAAAAAACGAACAAAAAAATTGAAAAAAAATTAAAGAAGATAAAAACGTAAAAAATGGAAAAATCGATTCATCCATATTTGTAAATGGCAGTCTGTAGCTCAAAGCCAAAGGACCGTATACCTACCTCTTTTCTGCCTCTTGGTTTAGTGTAATATAAGTTACACCATATTTTCTCGTGATTTTATTTTTAATTTCGTGGCATAGGTACCATCCTCATTTATGTTACTAATGTATTAAACTTTGCAAGTCTGATTAAGCTTGCCAAAAGTACAGTTATTTTAACCCTTCGCAAGTTATTGGTTATAGTCCTTTGGCTGTAAGTGATCGGGCACTAAGTGTTTATCGACATTTTCGATGTTAGCCCTTAACGCCTCTCTGCCTTTTGTAAAGACGAACTGTTCCAGGCAATGAACGGAGAAAAAGAAATCGTAGTTCTTGCTCTGCTGTGTCAATAGCACGTACTTTTTTGTATTGAGTATTATTTCCGCACCGGGAACGATGCAGTATTGTTACCAGGACCGAATTAATTAATAACTCAATAGAATTCTTTGAGATAGAGACCAGAATTTTAGCATGGGCTTAAATTTAGAAATTAGCTACTTAAGAACTACGATTCCCTTTACTTCGTGTGATCCATTTAAGGGCCATTTAAGTATTTCGCAAAGCATTTCGGCAACTTTTTTTTACTTCACCTTCCCTCCTCATAATACCTTACAAGCTAAGGACAGACCCCTCCCCCCTCCCCCTCCCGAAACGACTTGCGTAATACTTGAATGTTCCTGTATTAATATTGTGATGATTTCAGAAGAAAAAATCACTCAAGTTCTAATTAGACCCATCTGTACGTTGCTCCTTTTTTCTGCACAACAGCACAATAGATTTTTCAACACTGAAAAAAAGTCTCCTGGATCTAGAGTCCAGATTCTTGAAAAATTTGACAGGATAAAATACTCTTGATTCTGTCGGATTTTTGCTTAAATCGAGAGTCAAGCCTTTTAGTTTAAGCGGATTTCTTTCCATTCAAGGAAAAATATGTTTGAATCAAGAGTATTTTTTTCATGTCGAGTTTCTTAAGAGTCTGGACTCGTGATCCATAATATTTGTTTGTAAAAATGTTAAAATAATGAGTCTAACTCGTGATCCATAATATTTGTTTGTAAAAATGTTAAAACAATGAGTCTATTTTATCCTCAGATTGCTACCTACGTTTATTTACGTATCTTTAGAATCGTATTTTAATGGTCTGTCTGATTCTATCTGTGTACGTTCAACCGTTAAAGAAAGACCGAACGCGCTTTTTTTGTTCTTACAATGTTTTTTTTAAAAATAATTTTTGTTAAGATAGTAGTCAATTCTGCGATTCCAGCGGAGTTGTGATCCTAACGAACATCTGCGAGTACTCAAATTTTGTAACATCAGACCTGCGGAATAATTATTGAATACTATTCAATTTTTTACTCTCTTTCACCTCTTTGTCCAACGATCGCAAGTGATCTCGCGGATCAGTACCATTGCAGGGGTTCAACTGTCAAATATTAGCTTTGCCATAGGGACCTACTTTGTTCGTCACATCCACATCTTTTTCACCATTTTTTTCTCCCCTCTCTTTTGCGCTATCTTTCGTTTTTTCGTGAGCTTGTTCAGTGAGCGCTCGTCCAGGAGCATGCACGTTTAGCCCACAGGAATTATTCGGGACGACATTGAACCCACCAAAAAAAATTCAAAGTTTCATATTTTGTGTCGAATGTTTCTCATTTCCTAGAAGGCGAACATTTGTGGGTTAATATCGTTCAATAGAAATTTATTAACAACTTTTTACTTTTTTTTACACTTGAGATATCCCAAGGATAATCCTGCGCTTTACGGTCCCTAGAGGCCCCCCCCCCTCCGTACTTAATAAAGCCAGCCCCAGGTAACCGCGTTATCAATTAAAAAAAATTGATAAATCAAAAAACTAAGAAAAGTAAAAAAAAAATTAAAAACTAAAAAAATAAGTCTTGGGCAATTTCTGAACAAGCTCATTATATTATGGATTCTCAGTGGTGGGTGCCTATCAAGCACACTTGAAGAGGTGAATATGAAAAGTGAAGTCGCGTTTAGGAGTCGGAGCGCGGCTACGTGCTGCGCTCCAAAGGGAACGCGACTTGGAGCCTTGGGGTGAGTTCTATTTAAGGGGGCCCCTCGATGAAGTCGCGTTTAGGAGTTGGAGCGCGGCTACGTGCTGCGCTCCAAAGGGAACGCGACTTGGAGCCTTGGGGTGAGTTCTATTTAAGGGGGCCCCTCGATGAAGTCGCGTTTAGGAGTCGGAGCGCGGCTACGTGCTGCGCTCCAAAGGGAACGCGACTTGGAGCCTTTGGGGTAAGTTCTCTTTAAGAGGGCTCCTCGATAGTTCCGCTGCCGCAGCGACTTGCTCTCACGGCCGTAGCGCACAACGACGATCAGCCGCCTCCAGAACCGGTAAAAGTGCGCCCTCGTCGTCCATCGACGTTCGGGGGGACGCCCCGCCGGACGGCCCTTCGAGCACTCCGTCGGACGGCATTCTACCGACCGAACTTCGCTTCCGGGGGCTAGCAACCTCAGCCTGGAAGTGAAGGTAGGCCGGTGGCAATGCCGGCCGACGGAATGCTCGACGGACCGTCCTGTGGGTCGTCCCAACCCGAATGTTGGTGGGCCACGTGGTCGCACGAGTAGGGGCCGTCTGCGGACCGCCTCGACCCGCCGGCCCGAACCCGCCGACGGTAGCCATTGAAATACCTTTGGATCAGCTGCTGCTACCTTGGGTCAAAATAGTGACACCGAGTGTCCCGAATTTGCGTGCATTCAGGATGGTTGGGTGGTCGTCAAGCGTGGGTGCTTGCTCACGCTTCATGAGCATGCAGCCAACCTGAGTGTATGTGTCCATTCGGTACATTCAGTGTCACCATTTTTGTCCGAGCATGGTTACCCGCCACGGGAAAAAGCGAGTTTGCGTCCGTGACACAAGAGGGATGGTGAACGGCGTTCCCGAACCGTTCCTGTGTCTTGTAGCTGCCATTTAGGGCTGTTTTCGGCCCTGAGCCGGCAGTAACGAGACAGAGGAATGGCTCGGTAACTCCTTTCACCATTCTTGTGTCGCGGACCCAAACTCGTTTCAGCCCGTGGCCGACTGACTATGACTGACTTGGGTTGGTGGTGGTTCGGTGGTGGGTGCATGTGGGTTTGGTGGTGGGTGCGTGTGGGTTTGATGGTGGGTGCATGTGGTTTGGTAGTGGGTGCATGTGGTTTGGTAGTGGGTGCATGTGGTTTGATGGTGGTTTCATACTCTGTTTGTTTTCAATTGTAATTGTAATAATCAATTTCTCACTTTTTCTTTCTTTCTTCCTCTCTTCCTTTCTTCCTTTCTTCCTCTCTTCCTTTCTTCCTTTCTTCCTCTCTTCCTTTCTTCCTTCCTTTTTTATTTTTTTTTGTATGCTGTGCTCAACGATACCAGGAGGCATGCTCCTTGACCACTTCGAGGTCTAACCTCCCGAAGCGCTTCGCGCCTCATGCGTTATGAGAATAGGAATGCGTCATGGAAGAGTAGGCGATTATTGTTTTTAAGTCAGTTAGGATAAAGCAAATTAGTCTTATAGTAAATGCTGTTCACATACTGTAAGATATAATAATTATTCACTCTAAGTTTTTTTTTAATTCTGAATTGATGATTGTTGTTCGAATCAATCCGTATGATTCTAATTTCAGTAAAATTGATGCTAGGATTATTGATCCCTGAACAGGCGATTCTGCATAAAAGTAGGCAATTATTGTTTTTAAGTCAGTTTGGATAAAGCAAATTAGTCTTATAGTAAATGCTGTTCACATACTGTAAGATATAATAATTCATTCTAAGTTTTTATTTAATTCTGAATTGATGATTGTTGTTCGAATCAATCCGTATGATCCTAATTTCAGTAAAATTGATGCTAGGATTATCGATCCCTGAACTGGCGATTCTTCATGGCGATAATGAGTAAAGACTCATTATTCTAATGAATTCATACATCTTACAGGGTTAAATATAACAATTAACGATACGTTTGGAACACCTCACATGGACAGAATTGACATCAGCATAGAAAATCCTTATAATTTGTTCACTTTACTGTGAACCTGTGTCCTCATTCGACATTAATAATATTTTAATCTCTTAATTAATGGGCAAGTTTTTTAATAATATTTTAATATCTTAATTAATGGGCAAGTTTTTCAGTCTAGTTTCAGTGACAGTGTTGTGAGTGCTTTCAGCTTGGCGTCGGGCAATTGGATAACCTATCGCTGGTATGTATTTCACAATTTTTCTCTCTCTCTTCTGATAAGATCTAATTGTTGTCGTTTTTTGATATCTGTATTTAAGATCTAATAATATTTATATGTTTTTTAATGACACCACTACAAAAACACGTGAATGATATATTCCTATATATTAAAATGCAAAGTTCCGAATCTTGGGGCATTAACTTTGAGAGAACCACCGGACCGATTTGCGTGATCTTTTTTTTAAATGAAAGCCCCTGAGCTGTAGATTTGCAGGCTGTGATCGTTTTTTCGATTTTCTCAAATTTTCTCCCATAATTTTCTAAAATTGTCTTCGATGCATTAAAACGGAGGTCCGAATCTTTGGACGTTAACTTTGAGAGAACCACCGGACCGATTTGCATGGGGGTTTTTTTAAATGAAAGCCTGTGATCTGTAGATTTACAGGCTGTGGTCGTTTTTTCGATTTTCTCAAACTGTCTTACTTTTATCGACGAGTGAAGTTTAGCTGGGCTCAAATTTTCTCCCATTTATTCAGACTAAAGTCCGCATTTTGGGGCATTAACTTTGAGAGAACCACCGGACCGATTTGCATGGGGTTTTTTTTTAAATGAAAGCTTCTGATCTGTAGATTTGCAGGCTGTAATTGTTTTTTCGATTTTCTCAAATTTTCTTACTTTTATCGACGAGTAAAGTTCAGCTGTTTCGAGCGGTCATCTGGCCGCTACCTGCTTGCCCGTCCCTAGATACCCCCACTAGGATCTCAGCCACCCCTCCCACCACGTTCTTTCGGCTATCTCCGTTTTCTTTCGTATAGCTTTCCTCCCGCCAACCTCAAAGAAGGTTTGGGTCGCATTGTCGTTCGTCACTCACCACCCACATTCCGTCGCAATCTCTCAGCTACTCCGCTTCACCACTTCTTGATAGGCATCCTGGCGGTTTGACTGACCCTGACTTATTAACTGCAGCGGTGCGCACACGTATTGCTAACAACATGTATTGTTATGGACATTTCATTCTTATTTGTTCTTTTCTCTTTCCAACTTTGTTTCAAATTTGCTTCGTTTCTTCCTCTCTCTTTATTTTGTTGGTCGGTCGACTACGTTGATCGGTTTTTTGCTATTGAAAGCACATTAAGACTTCATGGATTTTCAATATCATCATTTGATCTTCCGGAATTGCTTCCAATTAACCTGAATCTTCAAGGGTCAGAGCCTGACTCTCCTCCCCCTAAAACTATGATTCCATGATTTCTGCCGCTAACCCAGAGCAACATCAAATTATTTCTGAAATAATTAGTCTCATCCAAAATCCATCTTACACGTGTAATGCGATTTTCATTGATGGTCCAGGAGGATCGGGAAAAACTTTCGTTTAAGAATGTCTTACTGCGTATTGTACAAAAGGAAAACTTAGACGTCATCTCCGTTGCTTGGACAGGTATCGCCGCATCGTTGCTACCTAACGGTCGGCCGGTTCATAGCAAATTCAAAATTCCTTCGGTTCTGAATGAGAATTCTGTGTCGAGTCTCACGGTTAGCTCAAGAGAGGCTGAGACTATTCGGAAAACAACGATCATTTTTTGGGGCGAAGCTTCCATGGTTATCACGCATGCTCTGGCATGCATCGACCGACTTCTTATTTAGAAAATGGGTAATGATATCCCTTTTCGAGGAAAAATTGTCGTCTAGGGTGGTGATTTTAGACAGGTTTTACCCGTTGTTCCGCATGCTTCTCGCCAAACATTGGTGCAAAATGCAATCAAATTCTCACCACTTTGACCTCTTTTCAAAATCAGAAAACTTACTCAAAATATGAGAACTTTGCAAGACGAAGCGGAGTTTGCAAAATTTTAACTCGAAATAGGTGATGGTGTTTACCTTTCTGCTAAAAAAGGCCATGCCGGAATTCATTGATTTACCGACAAGCAGTATTACTGAAACTGATATTATTACTGAAATTTATGGAAAAGATAGCTTCCTCATGTTCGAACGTAGATTTCACAAACTGCGCAATTCTGGCCCCTAAAAATAAGCATTGCAATGAAATTAACGACAAGGTTGTTGAAGTTCTTTCAGGTGTCTCTAAAACGTACTTCAGTGTTAACAGGCTCATTGTAGAGGAAGAGGGAGAGGCTCTCAATTTTCCCCTCGACTTCTTGGACAGTCTTAATCTTAGTGGCTTACCACCGCATAAACTCACACTTTTGGAGGGGGTTTTTGTCATGCTTTTAAGAAACCTCAACGTTCCTAAAGGTTTATCGAATGGTACCCGATTGATCGTCTGGAAACGTTATGAAAATTGTCTTGATTTGCAGGTCATTTCCGGCGAGAAGGCCGGTGAAAGAATTTCACTGCCAAGAATTGATTTGTCACCTGCAGACTCCTCTCTCCCTTTCTCTTTTAAGAGGCGACAATTTCCAATTCGCATTGCGTTCTGCATGACCATCATCAAAGCTAAGGGTCAAACACTGAAGCGAGTCGGCATTTATTTACCCCAAACAGTTTTTGGCCATGGTAAACTATATGTTGCACTCTCACGAGCTAAATCGTACAAAAATTTTGATGTCCAAATTCTTCCCAAAGGCAACCGTACAAAAAACATCGTGCACAAAGAGGTGCTTCGATCTTTTATAAATCCCAAAAGCCTCATAGTCATTAGAAAATTATCAAAAAATAAAAATAAAAAAAAATTTAAACAGTAACACAAAAAAAAGAAAAATTAATAATGCGAGCTTTTTATAACATTTTTCGGTAGAATGGCAGTCTCCACCCTGTAACGCAGAGAGGCAGTTAAATTCCTTGATCTTCTGCCGCAGAATCATCATCATTATTAAATAGATTCAACTAATCGCTCCGATTCCAAATAAGCTACTGCACCACCATTGCTAGCTGTGGAGGGCGCCCGTAGGGCGCCCGGAGCAGCTAGTTTCTCTATAAAACAATATCACACTGAACTAAGTGGGGCAGTTCCGCTGGTCACAGAATTGTGTTTTGATGCTTGATTCTTGTAGACCAGCTAAAATTTATAAGATCTGTCCAAATAGCAACTTTCACGTTGAATATTAACCGAGGAGTCACCCTTTAAAAAATTCGGCTCATGAAGTCATCAACCGCGGCAAAGACACCCTTGGGTTTCTTCCACCTTTACTTTCATCTGAGTCACACGTTGAGTACAATCAAAGCAAATATGTGTTTCCCTATATCATGAAAGCGAAATGGAAAGAACCAAGGGTGTCACTACCGTGGTGGATGACGTCCTATACCGAATTTTTCAAAGCGCGATATTTATGTTAATGTTTATTGCAAAAAGTTGTTGTTGGGACGGATCTTAATATTTTTAGCTGATCGACAAGAATTATGCATCAAAACACAATTTTGAGACCAGTGCAACTGATGATCCGTCATGAGGCCCCGAGCCTTAAAACTGGTACCGGGGCCTGAGATGAGATGTGGCGGGCCTGCGGAAAATACGCGATTTGGATAGCGGAAGTATTATATTCATAAACGTCAGTAATTTGAGGCAGGCATTAAACTAAGCATTTCCTTCAATTTCGTGTGATACCACATACCTACTCCGAAGTTTGAAAAGTTGCGCGCTTGATTTCCACTTTTGACGATGCCAGTATATAACGCCGCCCGACATTCATCATTTATGCAGCGGTTTTGTGAAAAGTAAGAGATTACGCGATTTTCATCTCAGTATCGCAGAAATAGCCATTTTCTCAGTGATTTTGTAAAGAATGCGGGTGGTCGAAAGTCTGTGAAACTGGACATTGTCAGGGAATTTGTGAAGACCGGGAGAAATTAGGGAATGTCAGGGAATTCCGATAAAATGTCAGGGAATTTTAATCCGACTAGTTGTTCGCACTGGAAAAAAAATAAAAAAAAAAAAAAAAAAACACATTGCAGAATCCAGACTCTTGAAAACATTGACAAGAAAAAATACTCTTGATTCAATCAGATGTAAGCTTAAATCAAAAGGAAATCCGCTCAAATTAAAAGGCTTGGTTCTTGATTTAAGCAAAAATCCGATTGAATCAAGAGTGTTTTTTCTTGTCGATGTTTTCAAGAATCTGAACTCTAGATCCAATGTGTTTTTTTTTCCAGTGCGTGTTGCTGATGCGGTTGTGGTGATTCCCTCGAGCACATTTCAACTCAGTTGTACGAGTAGGCATGTGGTATCACGCGAAATTGAAGGAAAATCTTAGCTTTTCGTACATCTCAAGTTACTGATGTCTATGAGTATTATGCTCGCATTGATATAAAAATCACGTACTTAGTTGTCGCGGTGAGGAGAAGATTTTGTGATCTCTTGCGATCTTCGTCAACCGCTGAGAATTTTGCTCACATATATGTCGCGATATAAAAGTGAAAAACTAGTAAATTTTAAAGATTTTACAAAATCACTAGGAAAGTAGCGTATTTACCGCAATATTACATTCATCAATGCGTTATTTCTCATTTCCCCTACAAAATTGCCGGAAAATCGGTCCATTTCGCGACACCGAGATTACAAGTGCGTAAGTCTCAGTATTTAAAGAAACCGCTGGGAATATAGCATACTTCTCGCGATATTGAGATGAGAGTTGCGCGATGCTTCATTTTCGTAACCGTAGCGGAAATGCATCGAGCAACTATTCGAACTCCGGAGTAGGTATGTGGTATCACGCGAAATTGAAGGAAAATAATGGCTTTGTCCTATCTGTACTTTCTACGTTCATAAAAATGCTTGCTTCGTTTAAAATTCGCGTATTTTCCGCAATTGAGATGAATATAGTATGATCATTTATGGTCTTTATGAACCGGTGGAAACTTGGCTTACCCGCCATGATATCGAGGCAAATAATGCGATTTTCAATAATTTTAATAAATCTCTGGAACAAGCGCGTGTTTGCCACGATAATTGCGGTGATTATTGCGTAAAGTCTCATCTTTCTTTATAAAATCGCCAGAAAAAAGGGCATTTTGCGCGATACCGTGATTGAAAGAGAATAATTTTTCAATATTAAACAAATCTGCTGAAAATGTATCGTACTTCTCGCAATATTTCGATGAAATTCGTGCATTGCCTCGCGCCTTAACAGCGAAAATGAAGCGAGAAACTTTTTGAGCTCGTGGTAGGTATGTGGTATCACGCAAAATCGAAGGAAAATCTTAGCAATTCGCCCATCTCAAGTCCCTGATAATTATGAATATTACGCATCAATATAGGTAATACCTTTGATGTATCATCATATTTTCCGAGCTGTAGAGGAGAAAATTGTGTAATCTTTTATGTTCTAAACCGACACTTGGAAAATTTGCGTACTTTTCGCGATAACGATAAGAAGAAGGCGTAATTTTTTATGAAATCACAATAACACCTGAAAAATCGCGCATTTGCCGCGATATTGCGATACTTTTCGCGATAACGATAAGAAGAAGGCGTAATTTTTTATGAAATCACAATAACACCTGAAAAATCGCGCATTTGCCGCGATATTGCGGTGATTATCGCGTATTCGTTTCTACTTTTTTCTTTTACAGCATCTCTGAAAAATAGAGCATTTCCCGCGATACCGAAATGAAATTTGCGCGATTTCTCACGCTCTAAGAAGCGGAAATGAAGCGAAAAACAATTTGAACTCCGGAGTAGGTATGTGGTGTGGCATCACGCAAAAGTAAAGGAAAATCTTGGCTTTGTATCCTTATCAAATTACAGACGTTTATGGATGAAGGCATAATGCTCTCATCGTTAAATGCGGGAATCAAGCGCGCAACCATTTGAACTCTGGAGTAGGCATGTGATGTGGTATCACGCGGAAATGAAGGAAAATCTTAGCTTTTCGCGTCTCAAATTACTGAGGTGTATCGATAGTACGCTTGCATCGATATCAATTGCATTTTTCCGAGATTTTGATGCGATAATCATTTAATTTTTATATTTTTTCAATCATAGAAAAAAAGTGTCGTGTTTGCCGCTAAGTTTACATGGATATCATAACCATTGTGATTTTTCACTTTTCCACAAAACCGCTAAAAAAATCGCCTTTTTTCCGCGAGATTCGTTCGAAATTACTCGTCCAAGTGATGAAACACTGGAAAAAAACACATTGGATCTAAAGTCCAGACTCTTGAAAACATTAACAAGAAAAAGGACTCTTGATTCAAGCAGATTTAAACTTAAATCAAAAGGAAATCCGCTCAAATTAAGAGGCGTGGTACTTGATTTTCAAATGTGATTGAATCAAGAGTATTTTTTCTTGTCGATGTTTTTAAGAGCCTGGACTCTAGATCAAATGTGTTTTTTTTTTCCAGTTCAGTTTTTCCACAGTATCTGCAGCCCGAACAAATGGGAAAAATTGCTATTTCTCTGTGTCTCTTCCATTGAATTAAATCGAACAAAGCCATTAAAACCACCAGTAGTAGAACTATTACCACTAATCTGCCGTGCTAAGCAAGAACGTCGTAAATCTATCAAGATTTTTATGCGTTTTTTGGAACTTAACATTTCATAGAATAAAAACTGTTTTACTCGTGCACCTCAAATTTTTATGCTAAGTTCTTGAAAGTATTTACAAAAAAAATTCTGTAAAAGCATTGTCCCGAGGTCCACAAGTTTTTCTGCTACGATACATTGTTGCCAAATAAATTAAAATGGCGTTTACGTCGTTTTTGCGTTGCACGGCGGTAGGGGTATACTTTTAGGGTTTTCAGGGGTGCAAAAACTTCTCGACCACGCGACCGGGTGGATCACGATCGGTCGCGTGTGAAAATGGAAAGGCTGTAAAAACGTTGACTCCAGATTGGAAAGCCAGTAAAATTGCGATTTTTTTTGCAATACTGCAGCAAAAATCACGCTTTTTTTCCTGAAATTGCGGTGAACATCACGCGTTTTTCGCAGAATCGTGGCAATTTATACGTGCAGAGACATAGAAAAGTCATTTTTGTGAATTGTTGAGGAAAGGTTTTTTTTTTTTTTTTTTTTTTGTTTGAAAAAAAGGGTAAGACTTTTGAGAAATGGAAAGGCTGAGAATTTTCTGCATCGCGGCTTAGGGCGTTGCAGCGATTCCACTATGCAACAATATTGATTTCCTAAATATAACGAAGAACTATCAAGAAATCGGTTTCTTATGATTTTAAATATTTTCTTGAGTGTAGTGGTGCATTTCCAGCAACCAGTCTGTAGCATACTTTACTTCTAATCACCCCTGCACAAAACTCTACTTTTGCAAGAATTTTCAGTGCCTTGATTTAGATACTAATCTTCTCTTTTGCCTCCTTTTACAGAATCGTCTGCTCTGAGCTGCCTACTCCTGATCGGTATGTATTCTTATCTTAATTGTATCTCTCTGAATAGGTTAAGCTCGCAGTGGTTAATTTTGGGACCTTGCTTTCTAATTTACCTTACACGAGAAACCCTGTAGTTACTCCATTTTCTCCCTTAGTCTATTGGAACCACCCATTTTAACCAATAGGATTGCTTCGTACTCACTCCCTGTGTCTACCTTTGTCTATTGCCTCGTCCATCAAGTTCAAAAAGCAGCCCGCAGTGCGTCGGGAGCGTGGGCGGAGGCCGCGCGGGACTCCTCCATCCTTTTCTTCATTAGTCTATTGAAACTGCCCATTTCAACCAATATGATCGCGCCATACTCCCTATGTCTTCTTTGTCTATAGCCTTGTCTATCAATTTCAATAACTAGCCGGCAGCGCATCGGTCGTGTGGGCGGTGGCCGCGCGGGCTCTGCAAGTCATTTTCTCCCTTAGTCTATTGGAACCACCCATTTCAACCAATAGGATCGCTTCATACTCTCTATGTCACCTTTTTCTATCGCCTTGTTTATCGATTTCAATAATCAGCCCGCAGAGTATCGAGCACGTTGGCGGAGGCCGAGCGGGTTCTGCGAGTCATTTTCTCCCCTACACTGGAAAAAAAAAACATTTGATCTAGAGTCCAGACTCTTGAAAACATTGACAAGAAAAAATACTCATGATTCAATCAGATTTTAGCTTAAATCAAAAGGAAATCCGCTCAAATTAAGAGGCTTGGTTCTTAATTTAAGCAAAAATCTGATTGAATCAAGAGTATTTTTTCTTGTCGATGTTTTTAAAAGTCTGGACTCTAGATCCCATAGGTTTTTTTCCAGTGTAGTCTAATGGAACCACCCATATCAACCAATAGGATCGCTCCATACTCCCTATGTCCTCTTTGTCTATCGCATTGTCTATCAATTTCAATAATCAGCCCGCAGCGCATCGGGCGCGTGGGCGGAGGCCGCGAGTGCCAATAACTGTATCGGAAGGGAATTAAAGCGGCGGCATAAAAGGTGTATGCAGATAATGAAATAGCTGACAACAAAGACTTAACAAAACATAACGATCCGGCGCTCGGCGCGGCGCACCGCGGCGGCGGAGGCCGACACAAAGCCAAAATAAAACAGGACGTGAGCGCACTGTGCATTGTGCTGCCCCTGCAACGTAGGCAACAAGCGGAGATAAGACAGCCCGGTGCCGCGAGGCGAGGGGCAAAGGGTTCGGGGGTTGTCTTGAATCATCACAATAGCTCTCTATTCAATGCTTAATCTCGTCTCAGATCATGTGACTGTATTGTCCCGCGAAAGCTCCGCCGTCCCGCAACTCGAAAACCACCTATCTCAACCCTTACCCTCCAAAATGTCCGCGCGGGATTTCACTCTCAGGAGGAAAACGATTCGACATTTAACCTCAAAATTTTCACAGGTTGACCATAGAGTGTGATGGAAAAATCTCGGACAGTTTCGATTTATAATATTGATTTTTTTATACTAAAAATGTGATGTATATGTCGGGGGTGTTCTGAAACGTCGCGATTGGTTTACGCGGTTTTGGATTTCGGCTATCGGGAAGCTCTGGCAACTCGAGTTCTATCAATAGGTTATGGAGCTTGGCGGCGCGGCGCAGTGCCTGTGCCCTGAGCTTTGCTTTCAACGCTGAGAGGTGCCAGAATCTATTCATGCCCGCGTCAACAATGAATATTAATGTTCTTGTCACTCATCCCCAGACACTCCTTTAATGAGGCATTTACAAGCGTTTTAGAAACTACTACCCCACGAGTGGTGCCCCAGACATTTTTGCTTTTACGCCTGGCGGTGCTACCGAACTCAGCGGGGGCGGTGTGGTTTTTGACTGTGTTGAAATGGCAGGGGACCAATGAGATTCTTAAAAGTCGATAAATGAGTCAGTTCTTCGGGTCAAAAAAAGACGTTTTTGTGGTATAACTTTTTTTTCCAAAAACACTCTCCTTTGGCATTATCCCCCTAACATCCCCTATTAGTCATTACCTCGAAAACGATGAGTTAAAATAACGAAAAAACGTATAACGTACATTCTTTCAATCTTTTTCAACGCTGAATCTAGTGGTACCGTCGTGCATTAATTTTTGTCGCTGGAAACATTAATTTTGGCCACTTTTAGGTTCGACACCCCCTTAAACATCCCCCTCAAAATGAGTTTTCCCTTCTTTGGAGGTCAAAAATGGAAAGAGCGCTAAGATTTATTACCCACTGTTACCAATTTTCATTAATATCGGTTGATAAACATTGTCACAATGTTTAAAAGACGATTTTTCCCCAACTCTAGGGGGCCGTGTCCCCCAGGGAAAGCGTTTTTGGAGAAAAAGTTTTACTACAAAAACATCTTTTTTTGACCCAGAGAATTGACTCCTTCCATATTCGTACTTAATCCTTGGTCATCCTGTATAGGTACTCGAGTATCAAGCTGAGCCGTACGCGGCTTTACCTCCGTACTGTTGTGCCCTCCCTTGTCACATCGAAAGGGGGCTATATGGATCCGAGGGGGGACGAGGGGGGGGAGGGCCCGGGACAATGCATCTTTTGATATTTAAAGTACCTGCCTGGATGTCGAAGGGCTGATACGAGCTTGAAATGGACGGAGTGTTGGCGTTGTTGTGTGAGCTTCATAATGGCGATAATAAAAGCATTGTATTTGGGATGTTGATTATGAGCTGATAGATCACCCGACACACTGCACGGTATTGAATATTCTGCCGCGCTCGGCAAAAACCGCGTATCTGTGCAGGCGATTCCTATTGGAGTTATGCGGTTTTCCTTCGGCAGGGTAGGATTGACACCGGGAAGGGAGCACAATGGCCTGAGTTCTGTTTCCAAGTTCGCCAATCCACGGTCCGACTTCATCTCAATCTCCGCTATCTTCGCTCGCTCCTCGTTGCCGATTTTAGAGTAGAAAATGTGTTGAAAAACCGTGCAAGTAGAGCCCTTGCATTTGTAATTTTAGTACTTTTTCGCTGGTAAATTTCGCGAATAACAAGATGGTGCAGCTAGTATTTCCTGAGTCGAACTCTCCAGCTCAAAAACAAAGCTCTCACAGTTGAGGCTGGAATCGAGGAATTACCAGGGTTGCCACAGTCAGGGAAACCCGAGAAATGTCAGGGAATTTACAAAAGTCAGGGAATCCCTGGAAATGTCAGGGGAAATGACGAAAATGTCAGGAAAAAATTGTCAAATCATCGTCATTTGCTTTCTCCAGTGGGTTTGACGTTTCGAACGACAAATTTTGCCTAAACTATTTCTAACTATGTCTTTTTAGAAATATGGCATTTGTCCAGTTCGTCACCTTCCTCACATAAGGGCGTAACTACACTCGACGATGAGCCATGTATTTCTTATAACTTAGTGCTTTCTCGAGCTCATCTCAAATTGTAGTTTCGCCCTTTTGTCAGCCCAGTGATGAATTGTCAGGGCATTTCGCCAAAATGTGTCAGGGAAATCAGGGAAATGTCAGGGAATTGAATTTTTTAAATTCTGTGGAAACCCTGGATTACGGTGAGAGTCCACCTCTATATCCAGTCAAACTCCTCTAGCATGGTTGGAAGCAAATCCATCAGCAAAGTCGCCATAGTTGCAGCCTCAGGGTCGTTCTTTAAACAGCTCCTTTCCCCTGGAGACATCTTTTGGTTTACATTCGATTAAACAGCTCCTTTCCCTAGGAGACATCTCTTTGTTCACATCCGATTTAGGGAGATTCTATAAAATATATTTTAACATAGCGTCATAGAAACGACAATGTTTGCAAGTCTCGTGTCAATGCGATCGTAGTTCAACTTTAAAAATTCCCCTCGAAATTCCCCCTGAAATTTGAAGTGCTCGAAGGAATTTTCTCCTTGGAAGATTTCTCTTTTCATTTTCATCTGTTTAAGACTTTAGATAAGTCCTGAGGTTTTACCGCATGTATGTGACAAAATCTCTCGCTGACTGATAACTCAACCAACCGACTGGCCCACTAACCGATTCGACTAAAATAGGCTTGCTCTTGCTTTGTGCCCTTTAAAGGTGTAATTTCAAACCTTGGAAACGCTATCATCTCATCCTAGACGCTATTACTTTTGTGGTAATCTTTGCAATTGTTACTGCTACCTCTGAGTAGGAGAAAAAGCTTTAGTTCGTCAAAGATTCGAGAAATTCGGCAAACAATAATCAACAGCTTTCATGCAGCTGCCCCTAGATAACATTTGAACACAATGAAGAGTGAAAGAGGGTTATTCAAAATCGGCGATTTTACCCTACGCTTGGATTTTGCCCGGAGTTGGATATGTTGTTCCCTATCACAAGACACGCCTTATTCCGGCATTGGCAAGTTCACCCGAAATTTTTCCCGCGCGCTACAGCGTTGCCAAGTTGAAAACAGGCAAATTCCGTAAGTGGCATTAAAATTGAGCTATGAAGTTGCGGTTTTAACGAAAATTCTCTAAAAATTACGCACTTTTAGGAAATGACCATGTTTTTAATGTCGCATTAATTTTAACATGCATTATTGCCAAATTTCCGATTTTTAAATTCGACAAATGTTACATATCCGCAAATACCCAAAAAAGCTATCTTCAAATTTGAATAAAAAATTGTCTAATCGATAGTTCGTTTGATTCCGCATCCATCGATATATTATAGCTCGCTGGGAAACTTTTGGTTCGCGAGATATCATCATTTTTGTGAACAGCTTTATGGAGCGACGACGCTTTTTGAGTCCGGGCGGATAGAAATTTTAGCCTCCAAAAACACCGGGTAGCATTAATTCCATGGTTTCCTATGTAATTTTTGGCGCTGAATCCGAATTTGACCATTTCATAAAAAAATTGTCACCAAGATGTTGCCAAATTTGGCAAAAATTGCTTAAAATCGGCCTTTTTGGCGGATTATAGCCTGTGACTTGCCAGGAGTTGATCAGACGACAAAATTGGTTATTTCCACAGTTTAAACTCGTTAAACTATCAACAAGCTGGGTCAAGTTCTTTCTGCTCACGGTAAAAT